GAGAACATCATCTGGGAGATTAAAGAAAACAAGTGTCTTTGGGCTGAGGAAAGTTTCCTCTCAATAAACACGCTCCTTTGCTGCCAGGGCCTGTGGGAAGGCTACCCTTCAGCCAGCGTCTCAAACAGTGTGGCCAACATTTCCTGCCTGCTCTACCTTCCCCAGGCACAGCCTTCCCTCACAGCTGCAAGTAGCCCTCCAGCCTCCTCCGCTTTAGTGAGCCAGCCCTGGAAACTTCACTTTTCTGACCACCTCTTCAACTACAGAAGCAAGTGACATTCACATCCCGAGCTCAGCCTCCTCCTATGCTGGCCCTCCTCCCTTGATGTCTCACCAGAGGGTCTTGGCAGGCACAAGTGGCAGTGCTAGCGCTGGTGGCCGTGCCCAGAGGCGCAGAGGCAGCCCGGCACCCTGGCTCGCCTCGGGTCCGGGCACCCTGACACCCTTGGCATGCACTGCCCATGTAGCTTCTGTCAGGCATCAGCTGAGCATCACCTCTTTTAGTTTGTGAGCCTCATGGCTGCCACGGGAAAGGTGAACGGGAGGAGTGGTTGCACAGGCAGTTGCGTGTCAGGTTTTCTGCTTCATACAGCCGTTTCTATGGGAAATGCCAGGCACCGCTGGCTACATCACGTCAGCCCTGGGACTGCCTGCTGAAAATCTAGAAATGAGTTTAAAAATTCACAAGGAACCTGCTTACCAAGCAGAGAGACAGATAGCTCAAGCAGGGGAGGGGAGATGGGATCACTGCAAGGCCGAGGGTCCACAGAAGGCTGCGACAAGGGGACAGTGGCGTGGGGAGGCGGCAGGGATGGCTGTGGGACTGCTTCCCGAAGGCTTCTTGGGATGTCTGCCTTTCAGGCCCACAGCTGGCCTGTAAATTCGTTGCAGGTTTTTACAATTCCCTCTCATCTAGCCGCTTAAAGGAAAAGGCATGTTGCTGGTTATTCTTCCTAGCCTCGTGCCTTTGTAGGAGGGACACGGATGTATCTGTAGACTAGATTATGAAGCCAGGGTCAAGCTGCCACAGGACTTTACACAGAGGCCGTCCCCAGAAAGAAGCTCCCATGGCAGATTGGACTTCTGCTTTCCTCATTTCATCGTATCGTCATTCCCAGCACCAAGGACTGAGGCATGTGAGTTTTTAAAGCTCTGGAAAGGGATGTTGTTTTCAAGGAGGAACAGGAGACACTTCTTAGAACGTTCCTCCAATTTTAAAGTGTTGATAGTATTTTTTCAAGAGGATGTTGGAGAAGAACAGTCATGGGCCTTGACTACACTCTTATCTTTCATTCTCACTTTTGGGAAGACTAAATTTAATGTCTAACTAGAAATGACATCAGCCCTAAATTAGAAATTAATGTTGTGGTGGCCAAGCGTCCATCTTGTTCGCAGCTTCTTAGAATGTTCACACAGCTAAGAGTTACCCTGTTTTACCACACCTTATCCGTTTACCCGAAACCTGTGCTGCCAATCCCACTGGCCTTCAGCTCCCCATTGCTCCTGATTCCAAACCATATCCTTCCTTGCAGGGCCCTCAGCTTCCTCAGGCCTCCTCCCCTCCCATATGGCAGTGTGAATGACAAACACCCAGCGTTCGGCATCCAGACATGACCATCTCAGGAATCCTCTGTGCTTTTGGCAAAGCCGCCTGCCCCTCCCCAGGCACTTGCTGTATCCAAGCTGTGCAGGTTCCTCAGCGAGCACAGCTGCCTTCCATATGGTCTGGATCAGAATGGAAAAGCCAGATCTGCTTCCATAGCTTGAGCTAATAGACAGGATACATGAGCTATTGCCAGTAAAACAGCCTTACAAAAGAGAAATCAGCACACAAACCTCCCTCAGATGCAAGAGGCTTGGTCTCCCACCCCTACTGTAATGCCTCTTTAGGCATGCCGTGTTAACCAGTAACAGGATAGCATAACTGCAGAAACCTTGCAACAGGACTGGCACAGGTTGCGTGCCTTGAGGACAAAGTCTAGCGGGAGATGCTGGTTTGATCTACATCTCCAGATGCCAGAGCTGGGCAACGAGATCTGTTGCCTGCAGTGTGATCCCCTGAGGCAACATGAAAGAAGAGGGTCAGGCAGCCTGCAGCATTTCAAGATCCCTGCATTTGCTGTGACGGGTGCAGAGAAGTATTTGCAGGTACTGGATTTAGCATCTGAGCTGAGACAGGAAGGTAGACGTGTAGCTTCACAAAATGAGTTCAGGTGTGAATCTACGCAAAGCTTTCACGCTACTAATGCTACTGAACATCCTTAGCCATAGAACATGGATGGCTGGAAAAAATTTCACATCCAAAGTCCAAGGTTTTCGAACATAAATCACAAGCACCTCTGGATGTTCGGTGCCGTGAGTAGTGCACCCCAGCTAAACGAACGGGGGGGAGCCTAGAAGATGCCAGTCACGGGCCTGAGGTCCTTCGTCCACTACTCTGTGCCAAATCTTTTGTGGATGTTCATGTTGTTGCTTTGTGGGGGTTTTTATACTTCAGTTACATCGGCAAGGCATACCACTTACTAATTTTTTTACTCTGGCTCACTGAATACTGTTATCTATCTTGAATTTAATGGAGGGTTTTTTTTCCTCACAGTCTGCTGAAGTACCTTAGTGCTTCCAAAGAAGTATACCTATTTTATAAAAACTTACAACAAAAGTGCAGTTTAATTCTGTAATTGGTTCCTCTAATTCACAGCAAAAGTTGAATGTCAGTTAACAACAAATGAATTGTCAGGAGCAAATCTGTCTGAAGACAAAATAACCATCAGAAAATAATTCACATTAAGCAAGCTGAAAAAAACACCACATACACACATTAGAACAAATCTGAAGTTGTATTTTATTTAATCACTGAAAATCTGCCTTAAAAACACAAAATCAAATTTGGTAACCCAGTACATTGGATTAGAGAAAGCTCCAAGCTTTTAAGCACAAGCCAGAAGTCACCGTCTCCAAGGAGAGTTTCAGAGGCCAAAGCAATAGGCTGGAACAAAGTAGTACCTTTATGTGGAGGCATGCTCCTTGCACCAGTAGCGTGGGTTTGGGTGCGGTATTTTTTTAGCTGTCACTTATAAGAAGAGGCTTTTCTATTTATTTTCTAGTTAAGTTTGCTGCATTGCTTACCTAGGCCCTGGATGAATGGGAAAAACTGGCAAGTCAAAGCGCTCGCCTGTCCAGTTACTACCAACAGACATTTTACATGGTGGGGAAGCTAGCTTTATTGAAATGAGGTTCAGACAAGAATTAACTTTACATGTTATTAACAGCTTTGGAGCTACAAATGTAAGAGTCAGGATTACACAGGTCATGCTATTGTTCTTTCGTTTTACCTGCTGCAGTTACTGCAATATGGCTTAACGTACATCGGTATACAATTTGTACAAATTCAGCCAAGTTTGCACTTGTGAGGTGTTATTAAGAGCACGATTAACTTGCAAGCCAACCTCAACCTGTGCAAGCCAACCAAGGCTGTTGGAATTGCCCAGAGCTAAGGGGGAAAGCTGCCACTAACAACGGTCAGAGATAGACTGGATTGTTTGAAACCACGTTGTTCGGCTTTAGATATCAGTATCATTTGCTCTGAGGTAAGCAAAAATCTTTTGATGCTTCCACACAGGGCAGCACCAGACGGTGCAATCCCACCAGTGCAATCAGTCCCATTGCTCGCTGTACGTGCAGCCTCGAGGAGAGGCAAGCACCTGCCCTAACAAGAGCATTTGGGCACTAAAAGTTGAGTTTCAAATAAATTACTATACAGGTAGGCTAGTGAGCTATTGTTCAACTTGATGGGCATCGGTTTCACAAAGTGCTATCTGTAACCTTCACTTTAGAAATCAGAGCAGAAAGTATGGCCTTGTACCCCATGTTTGATTTTAATGTAAATGACAAAAGAGAGGACCAACTCCTGTCATGGACAGACATCGCAGCACTCTCAGTCTTCAGGCTTCTTCCCATCCTGAAGTCACCCTGCTCATTCTGTTCTACAGCTGCTGTCAGTCCAACCCACCTTACATGAAGGCTTTTAAGATCTCAGCACCCCAATGGGCTCATCAGGTGTTTTATAGCCTAAGGCAGAATTCCTCACCAAGCCCTTACCCTCCTTCCTACTCGCCCCGCAGTGAACATAGGGAATTGAGAGGAGCAGGGAGAATCTCAGGAAATGCTGTGGTGGGAAAGAGGTTCAGGCAGGGGCTGAGAAAGGAGGAAGCTTGGATGCAGGAGGGATGTTGGGTGCTGTAGGTGTGGGTAAGGGCTGGGGGTTGCATGGGGCAGTGACCCGGAATGAGCAGACTCTGGAATGAGACAGGTGCCATTTGAGGGGTGTGGTACCACGGCGCTTGCTCCATGAGCAAGACAACAGGGCAATGGTAAGTCTGGAGGGCTCTCAGAAACCAGGGAGGACTGCAAGTAGAAGCAAGTGAGGGATCTGACACAGGTCAGCGCTCTCCTTTGTTTTCACAAATATCATACCTCTACATTAAAATCAGAACTGGGTTTAGGATATACATATAAATATTCAAAGCAAGACAGCCAAGTTTCAGAGATTTTAGAAGGGGAGAAACCTCAAACAATAAATAGGAAACTACATGGTATTAATTTCTGCTCCAGTGGTATCAATTTCCTCTCCAGGCTACTCTACAAAATTCATTTCAGGGTACGCCTCAATGGTACAGAAGTATCACAGCTCTACATTAGAATCAGAACTGGGTTTAAGACACACATATAAACATCCAACACATTACAGTCCAGCCATGAGACCTGAAGTCTGGGACAACAGAAAAAGGGCATTCTCAAACTCCTTTCAAGCTAGGCTGTAGAAGTAATTTCCAACTAAATCAGGCCTGCACAAACACAGCTGGAGGACAGACAGAGATACCTGAATGGGACTGAAAGGCAGCAATCTGAGCATCTTGCTCAAGCACTTGTGCGCGGTCCAGTTCCTGCTGTTTGGTCAAGACACGCCTGCTACTCGGCCACCAGTCTCGTGTTCTCGTCAGTCAGCCCTCATCTTCCCCCTCACACACGCGCTGAGCGGCATCTGCGGCCACTCGTAGGTCAAGTGAAGGCATCTACGGAAGATGGGGATGGTAAGGGAGACTGCAGAAAGAAGGTCGGGGCATTCAGGGATGAAGGGAGGCATTCAAGGAGATGGGACAGACAGGACACCCATTAAGTGAGGGGACGGATAACTGCAGCACAAATGGTAGTGGTCTGTCCATTCACTCAGCATGGCATCTCCAGTCTAAGTGGCATCCTTTGGGCAGAGGCAGATGAACTTTGAATGGAACACAGGCGTGGACGCAGCCGACATTAAAGGCATCGTTTATTAGACAGAAACAACAAAAAAGGTGAGGTCTTCAAAAGAGCAGATGTGAATATCGAAAAACAAAGGGTAGTGAATAAAGCTCCTGGTTCTGTCACAGGATTGTCAGTTGTTCTCTAGCACTGGCATCTCTCCAAATGCCACATGGGTGCTTAGCACATCTGAAAGAAAGACAACAGTACAAAAGCTTAGTAACTAGACAACTTACTCTCTCAAGAATATCTTCTTTTCTCAAGCAGTTCTCAAAGGTAGAGATAAACGTCTCATGACTTAGTTAAGGAAGTGCAGTAAATATCCGAGGGAGAGACTATACCTACCATTTCTGACTCAGAATTTACTCAAGTGCAAAAAGCCTTGGTACATGAGGCCCTCCAGGTTTACCATGGAAGGCAACACTCACAACCTTTGGGATTTTAAGAAGAGCTTTGAGAGGGAAAAAGCATGTCTGCAGATTAAATACCATACATTAAACATGTCCCATATGAGTGCGTGTCTAGGAAAACTGGAAACCACGTGGCCTACCTCCCAGAAGTATCACCCTAAACTACAGGCCAAGTCAAAGGCCACTGAAGTGAGAGTAGCTGTACAGAAAAGAAAGAAGGTGTTGAGTAGTCAGAGACAAAGGCAGTAAAGTGAGGGGGAGTGGGAACAGGGAGAGCTGTGGCCTGTTGGTTACACTGGGGAACAGCTGCCTTTCAACATAATAACAAACAAAAACAAACAAACAAAGACACAACAGGTTTAGAGACCCCCCCAAACTTTTTTCGAAAATGAAAGAAATTTCTTGCTAAAAATGCTACTTACATTCAAGGCCTCAGGAACCACCGAGTTCTGACTTTGTGGACCATCACAAGACAGGCCTTCTTGGCAACTATTGTCCTCCCACGTCTGTGTTCTCCCGTCTTCCACTGGCAGGTGATGTTGTCCTTCCCCACTTTCTCCACATGTTTGTTGAGCTGTATGTTGGTCTGGGATTTCCATAACCTGCCCAACTTCTTTTTCCCTTAATTTTGGTGGGTGTATGTCTAGGGGGTCTTTGGTTGAATCTTCGGAGGTGCTTAGTTTTGGTGTTGATTTCTGAAGTCTCACAGTTTCCCTTGAAGTGTCTTCAGGGCTAGTCTCAGTTGTTAAAGAATTCTGACTTTGTCCGTCTTTCAGCATCTCAGAATTTAACAGCGTATCTTTTGGTTCTTCTACAGTTGCATGAATTTCTGCAGACCCTGTTAAGGTAGCAGTTTTCACTGTTCCCGATTGGTGGAGCTCCTGGTCTTTGCTCCCTACCTCCTCCTCTTTTACTGGAAGCTGATGATCCACCTGCGTACTTTCCACAAGCCCAGGTTTATTTGTATCTGATGGGCTTTTCCCTACGGACTCGATGCGCTGCTCTGACTCAAAGGCAGCTGACCCTTCTGCTTCTGCAACTTTGTGAACAGCCGTCTGGATGGCATTCAATACAATTTTCGTACTCTGGGACTGTGCGGTCACAGTGTGAACACTATCCTCCTCAAATTCCGTAGGGGTGAGAGACAGGCTGTCACTTAGGGCAACACCATTCTGTTCGGGTTGCCCCATACGCTGGGGCCTCTCTGGCTCCTCTGGTATTCCGTTCACAGCAGCAGAAGCTACTTGAGGCTCAGGTGCTTCTGCACTACCAAGCTCCGCGGTCCCACAGCCTGAGCAGACAACAGTAGTAACCAGGAGCTCTTCAGAAGCCATTTGCTCAGGTGTGGTTGCCAAGGGCTGGACACTTGTGGCTGTGGCGTCTGCAGGCATTACGGTCTCTGCCATGACATGCTCTTCAACTGCTGCAGCTGCTCCAGGCACAGGCACTTTCAGAGCCTCCATGCTCTCAGCCTGTGGGAAGGCTGACTCAGAGCCTTCCTCTTGCCCAGTTAAAACCTCTTGCTGGACAGCAGTTGAACATTCACCACCTCTCACAGCTTCCCCTTCCCCAGAATCAAATAGTTCTTTGGCTCTTTCCAGCAACTGCTCATTTTTGTCATCTCCTTTCTGACAGTCTTGACAGTTTGAGGCTTCTACAAGTTCCTGCTCTTTTTCCACAGTCTCTTCTTCAGCTAAGCTGCTTGGCATTTCACATTTCTTAGGACTTACGTCAATGAGGACAGCGCCTCCATTTTCAGTGCTGTCTGGGCATGCTGCTGCTAAATTAGATGTGCTGTCTGCTTCAGCCTGCGTGGAAGCCTCAGTGGCAGTGCTATGACCCTCAAAGCGTGTTTCGGCTTCAAGCACAGCATCTCCCATTTGGCCACCTTCAGTTTCATCACTCAGGCAGAGGGTTTCAGCTGCTGCCGAGCCAACTGTTTCTGAAAGAAGGGCAGAGGTTTCTACCTCATTCTGCAGTGGAAGCTCAGTCACTGCTGTGCGTGCTACTCCAAGGAGCACAGCATCATCTTCCTCTTCCTCTCTCCGGGCAGGTGCCCTGCTAGGAACTCCTTTAGTATCAGCTTGCTCTGGTGAGTCCAAGTCCGGAGTTTCAGCTTGTCTTTCAGTGTTAACAGGGACCGCAGTGACAACTGTTTCTGTGCACTCTGGTCCCACTGTGAGAGTTTTGCCCTCTCCTTCAGGCTGCCCAGGCTCTTCAGCTGTAAGCCCCAAGGAGGAGGTTTCATCCTCTGTCTTGTCCTGCACCTATGGAGAATTGCAAGAGACCTGTGAAAAAGGGTACAAGCAGGGAGGGACCAGCAATGGTGTGGGCAAAAAAGACCAGAAGGAGGAGGGTTATGCAAAGAGCGGGAGGTGATGCCACCAAGATTAGTGGCTCACCAAGATACCAGCTTGTGTTCCATTTCACAGGATACACAGCTCATGAAATGAAGGGTAGCCTAAAGCAAGGGACAGCCGACAGCACTCGAAACAAAGACGAAGCCAGGAAGGTGGTGGGGAGATAGGGAAGGAGGCGGGAACACATCAGCTACAATAACTCCTGCGCATTTACAGCTGCAGGTGGTGGTGTCATTTAATTTCCTCCCTTTGCAGAGGTACCTCACCTCCAGTTGCATCTCTGCCTACAACTGAAGCTCCCATCCACTAGGTATGGTACCGTACAGATACACACGTATCTCAGGTGTTCAGCTAAGAGCTTCAGTCACACTGTGCTCTGCAGGAGCCCTACTGGCAATTGCTTCAGCATCTTTGGATCCACGCACACCATCTCCCATTCCCTTTCTCCAGGAATTGCCTCCACCTCACTCTGCACACAAGCCTCAGTGGCTGCTGCTTCTGGACATCTGTCTCTCTCTCACTGGAAATGAACTTTAGCTGCCTCAGCTACACAATAAGGTCCTTGACAGTAACACTGCCACAACCTGGTTCTAAATTGGGTGTAATACCTAACACTTGTTGATTTTTTCTTGGACAAATCAACCTTTGCGTTCTATGGAATCCTTACCGCAGTTTGTACATCTGGAATACATTCATCTCTTGTCTCCTCTACTGTCAACTGTGTTATAGGTGGTTTCTCTTGTTCTGAAGGCTCCTGCTTCGCAAACGGCTCCTCCTTGGTTGCGACTGCTTTGATGCTGTGAAATTCTGTGTCGTCTGATGAAGGTTCCTCTGTCCTCTGCGCTTCACGTATTTCTTCATGGTCTTCTACAATTGCTTCTTCACAGACCTGCCTCTGGATTTCATCTCTCAATCCATCTACATTTGCACATCCTTCTGTGCTTTCGTGCATTGCAGCAGATATTTCCATTCTCTCTGAACCTTCGTGTACAACATTCTCTTCAACTCCATTTTGGCCCTGAATGCTCCCTCTACCTTCCTGGGGCTGGAGGCCATCCTCCTCGCGTTCTCCTTTCTTCAAGGACTGCTCAAGCAAAACAGTTTCCTGGCCTACAACATCCCCATCTTTAGCATCATCTTTCACTTCTGACTCCATTCCTTCCACTGTTGCAATTAGAGCTGCTGGCATGGTTCTTTCACTAACCAGCTGTGCTACATCTGATGACTTCACTCTTTCAGCAACTTCATGAAGAACTTTTTGTGTCTGTTTGTCTAATTCTTGCAAGTTTTGTTCAGTGGCCTCTACTTCTTGTACAGGTGTAACTTCCTCTGTAGTATCTGGAGTTTCTAACAACTGCGATACAGCCGAAACCATCTCAGTTGTTTCCTCTGCAAGGGACGCTTCTATTGTTTCCTCAGCGCAGGAAACCTCTGCCGCCTCCTCCAGAGCCGTCACTGCTTCTGAGGTTAGCTCCAGCTCACTTGCTGTGGTGTCGTCACTTCTGTCCTTTCTCGTCTCGGGCACCGTCTTCACAGCTACCACTGGTTCTTCCACAATAATGTCTGATTCAAACCTTTTCTCGGTTTCTTCCTCTTCTTTTGCCTGCTCAATGCACTCTGTCAAAGCAGCAGATATCCAAGATGGTGACCTTTCTTCAATACTTGTAACCGCCCTTTCCCCTTCCACAACGGTAACAGTAATCGCATGGACAAGCCCTTCAGGTGCTTGCTCAGTTCTTAGGGTCTCCTCCAAGTTTTCTTGCTCCGAGGTTCGTTCTCTCATCGCTTCACAATCTTTTGCTTGTTGGGCTTCCATTTTCTCCTGCTCTGCTGCTTCGTATTCGGATAAAGGTACAACAGCTGGAATATCCGAATCTTCTTCAGTTGTTTCTGCCATGTCTTCTCTTGCTTGTTTGTGATGAGTTGCTTCAGGCTTTCCATCTGACTTTTTCTTCCTACGTCCAGGCATCAGTTTCCTAAATGGAACCCACGACTCATCTTTTCCAGGCTCACCATCCGATGTCGAATGCTCCAGGCTAGATCCCACAACAGAGTCTTCGGTTCTTTCTTCCATTCTGCTTTTGGATCTCCTTCTTGGAGTGACTAACCTTTTAAATGATTCCCACGTTGAAATACCTTCACCTTCAGAGGGGCTTCCAGCTTGTTCTGGTGAAGAATTCCCTTGTCCTTGATCGCTCTCCTGAGAACTAGTAAGAAGTGCATCTGCTGCCATTTCTTTGCTCTGGCCAGACTCTTCTAGTTTCTGGCTTTCCTGGCCAAGCTTGTGTTCAGTTTCTTCATCAGACGATGACGATTTCCTGGCTCTTTTCTTTGAAGAGCCTACACAGATGAAAGCTTCCCAGGACACAGAGGTGTCCACCTTTCTTTTGGGCTCTTCTGTGCTTTTCTCTGGTTTCTGCTCCATCCCATTTTCTTTCAATTCTCCTTGATTTTCATCAACGGTGTTTTCAGTTGCAGACACTGCAACACTCTTTGTCTTATCAATTTCTTCTTCTTTATCGCTTTCAGAAGGTCTTCTGATGCGTTTCTTGGGAGTCACCATCTTTTTAAATGATGCCCAGGGTGTAACACTTTCTCTTTTTCGCTCCACATCTGAAATTGCAGCATCTCCATTTTCAGTGACTTGCATTCCATCTACAGATTTTTCCAAAGATGGAATTTCATTCATCTCCTCAGGAGAAGAAGCAGAACTCTCCCCCTTTTGTTCCTCTGGGCTATCTGGGGAATCCGATAAGTGCTGAATTGGTTCACCCTGTTCCCCTAACTTACATTCTTCTCTTTTGCCTTTATGCTTCTTTGCAGATAGTTTTTTTAATCCAGTACCCGTAAAGAGTTTCTTTAAAGGGCTGCCTTGTAGTTTAGTTTTTTCTTGAGAAGACAGCAGTTCAGCTTCATTTGGGATACCTTCTGGAGGCCTCTTTCCAGCTGCTTCTTCAGGAGTTATTTCCATGGTTATTTCATCTGCTTTGACAGTATCTGTCATAACTGTGCCAGTTTTTCCCTCTAGTCCTTCATCAGTGGGTTTGGTTGACTCTTGATCATCCTGTGTGTCAACTGAACATTCAGAAGTAGAAAAGGACTTCAATCCAGGAGCACCCAGAGTCACTTTTGTCTCATGTTCTTTGCTTGCTTTCTTCTCTTTGCTTCTAGCCGGAGCTTCTCCTTGTGGGATGTCTTCTGTTGTGGGTGACATTTTCAAGTCTGCTTCCTCTGGTTTTCCTCCCGTTTTTTCATCAAATGGTTCTTTCTCCAGTGGAGCAGCTTCACCTCCTTCTCTTCCTTCAGATTCTTTAAGCTGTTCACTAGAAATCTCAAGTGCCAAAGATCCTGCTTCAAGTTTCTCTTCCCTTCTGTCATCTATTTCACACTTCTGCATCGACTCCAGTTTTTCTCCCATAGGTAGGACTTCTAAGGATGTTTTCAATTCTCCATTCGCACTGTCAGTGATAAAAGGCACCAGAGACCTTGTCTTTAGTGGCTTCTCTATCACCTCACTTTCTTCTCCTTCTGCACTTTGTTCTTCCTTTTTACCAAAATCTTCTGAGACTTCCACCAGTTTCCTTTCTTGATCATCTTCTTCAGCTTTTTTCTCCTGCACACTTTCTATAACAACTGCTGCTGCTACATCCTCTTTTTGTCCTGCCTCATCAGGCTTCATTACCTCTTCCTTCTCACTTGCTTCAACTCCTGGGGCTGCCAAAGGCGTCTTTGACTCCTGCTTTCCACCTTCAGTTTGCTCCTGCTCATGTGCTTCAACAGTTACTGCTGTCACATTCCTCTCTTCATCTTGCTTCTTGAACTGACATTCCTCCTCCTTTTCACTGGTTTCAGTTGTTAATGTTGCCCCCTCTTTTTCTTGCTCTTCTTCTTTCGCAGGAGACTGTAGTTCATCTTCTTTCGGCTTCCTAAAACTCTTCTTTTTTCTAAATCCAGTCCATCCCTGAGTAAAAAATTTTCTTAATGGCGATGCAGTATCAGTGGCTAAGGCAGCTGACTGAGAGCAAATCTCATTTGCTTCTGGCGTTTTAGGAGATTCGTCTTCTGTTTTTTCATTTTTCAGCGGATCTTTGGTGTTGTCTTCTGCAGAGAATGCATCCTCTGGCATTGCTGTTTCTTCCGAGCTGACTTTTTGATCATCAGCTCCTTCAGGGACTTGTGTTTCTTTTTTTACAGTAAGCAGTTGAACCGGCTCCGATTTTCCCGTCTTTTCCTTCTTTACTGTGAATCTGAATCCAACAAATTTAAAAACCTTTTTAAAACCCAGATCATAAGACTGTGGCTCAGATGCATGGTCAAGGTCTTCTGCATCTTCTTCCAAAGACGGCAACTGCTTAATTGTATCAGCACCCTCTTTCTCGGCATCTTCACCATCCTTGGTGTTTGAGTCAGATGGACTTGTGTCCGTAGTTTCAGCATCTTGCTTCAAAGTTACACCGGCATGTTCTGTCTGTCCAACTGTTACAAACAAAACAAAAAGAAAAAAAAAAAGAGAAAAAAAAAGTTTGCTCTCTTCTCAATTTGATGTTCTACTATACCTTTCTATAAATTCTATAATTTTTTTCATTTTTATCAAACTTTCCTAAACAGACACGTTCTGTTATCTGTGTGCCTCTTCTATGTGATACTATTCATTTTGTAAGGACTGATTTTTGTTCTAAGACTACCATAATTCTTTTCCTTCCTCACATCATCGTACGGGTCTTTCCAAAGTTTATTTGCAAATGCACTTTTCAAGCTTATATTCTCTCATTCTCTTTCCTTTTTTTGCAGGTTTTTTTGTTGGGTTGGGGAGAGGGGGGAGAGTTGGAGGGGTTTTTTTGTTTTTATGTTTTTTCCTTTAAGGCAAACTTATGTGGGAGAAAAAAATTAGTTCTATGCTATCATTACTCAAAGAATATACAGAACAATACATGTAATTATTCCTGAAGCAAAGCTCAGTATCCTTTCCACGCAGACACCTCTGAGGGGAAGGAAAAAAAAAAAAAAAGAAAAAAATTAAAAAGGGTGTTGACCTAAAATGATGACAAGAAAAGAAAAGCTCATTTTACAGATCTGTCCCAAAAAATAGTAAGTTGGTAAAATGCCCATGGGAAATTTCCTAAAGGGGCATGACTCCTTTCTTTTAAGTTGTGCACGTGCTGCTTTGATGCCCAAAGGCATGCAGGACACAGCTTTCAGAAGTACATGCATCCCTGAATTCCCCCACATGATTTCATTTTTATTTGACCCTTCTTTTAAGTCAGATCTAACTCTGCAGTTGGCCCTGCTTCGTGCAGGGGCTGGGCCACCTGATCTCCAGAGGTCCCTTCCAGCCTAGATGCTTCCTCGATTCTGCTTGCCCATGTCCCCTTGCTTGAGAAAAGCAGCATCTTCACAAGCACACAGACAACGCGCTCTAGGTAAGGCTGAAACACAACTAAATAATGAGCAAAGCTGAATCTACAAGTACACTGGCTTCTAATAGCTACGTATTATGTTTATATTCACTATCAGCAGCCTACTGGTTGTTGTTTCTCAGTTGACATAAGCAAAGCTTTTAATTTTTCCCTTTATCTAACAGTTTAAAATTATTTAACTGCTAAGTCACTTAAAAGTCTGGCCTCTGACAACACCCTCGCTCCCGAAACATTTTAAAACAGAGATGTTCAAACCAAGTAATTGAATAAATTGCAAAAGGAAAAACGAACAAAAAAATACTGACTGACGGAACACGTACTTTTCACACCAGTCTGAAAAGCTGCAACTTGTAGACTCAGTCCAGGCACTACCCCTTCAATTCCACAACAAAAAGCATTTAACCTGTCCAGAAGATATTTCATCCCAGCCTCTGCTTTGCTGGTTTTCCCCATTTAAACCCCCGGAAGAGTCTTTAAAACTGAATTTCTGATGCCCTTCCTCAGCATTTGAGGAGAGAGATGCCATTCAGGAAATGTGCTTGCATGCTGCCATCTGCCCGCAGGCTGCCACTGCTGTGTGACAAGTCTGTAGTGCCAGACGTGGCCAAGTCGTACTTCGACGAGATACACCCCAAAGAGCATTTGTATAGCCAGTGGGGCACAAAAGAAACAGAAGACCCAACAAGTCAACTGGACACGCTGAACTTCGTATTTAGCAGTGGGATTCTTTAATGACATTTTTATTAACAACATTCTTGGTGTCCAAACATTGTTAGGGCACTTCTGAACACAAAGCAAACTGTGAGCAACTCCACTTTGCAAGCTTTAGAAGTTATTTACACCAGGTATTGCTGTTGAGAGTACTGGAGCCTGTCACCACTGCGGGTATATTGGCAAGACCAGCACTGAATGAATTTACAGAATTTGAAAGCATCTTCAGGAAACACAGGAGAGCCTCACCAAAATACCTCCCAGAAAAAAACAATAATCTAGTAAAACACTGCTATGAATGCAACTTCTTTCGGTCTTTCCTGAGCAGGGCTGTACTTCACCAGCTATGGGCTAGTCACAGAAAACAATACAATAAAAATATAACCAGAGGCAGTGATAAAATCATAGGTCATGCCATAAAATTGATCCACTTCGCTATTTAAGTCCACAATGGCTAACAACTAAAGCTGAAATTCTATTTTAACTGCTTACATAGCACTTAAGCTCTGAAACATTTTTAATTGAATCAAGATGCTGCTTGTGTTTTAATAACTGCAAGTGTTTTGTTGTATTCTGAAGGAAACATAAGAGACTGACGGTCTTAGGGAATCCCAAGTGCTTGATTTCACAATTTCATAGGTAGCTTAGTCCATGGTAAGAATTTATTTCTGTTTTATCAGATGTTGGAAAATGCGTATTTTCTGAATGACTGAACTTGTGTCTCATCCCATTAAAAATGAAATTCATAAATAGCAATGCTTCTACCTTAGTAGGCTGCCAGACACTGTTGGCAGTGCAACTTCACTGCTCTCACCATCTCGTCTGTCTCTAGAAGTGAAAATGTGTTTCTCCCCTGGCAGTTGCCAGAGGGTTAATGAAAAAAGCACTCTGACTGCAAGAGTTAAATCCACAGCACTTCATGTGCTCCAAGTCAACCATGTCAACATCTGGAGCTGGTTGACTTTTCCCCCTAAGGATTTGCAGCACGGCGTTGGATTTTTTCCATGAATTCCCTACATTCCCAACCTCTCAGATGGATGTCACACACACCCCGTGCCCGCCTCACAAACTCCCCTGGCCACCGAAAGGCTCCAGAGGACTTTGCGCTGTTTTCACTTATTCAATGTTTGAGTATTTCAGACAAAATCGTGCTTTTGGTCACACATGGAAGACTCTCAGTAGGACTGCAGGAGTATAAAGGAACACTGAAGCCGTAAGGCTGAAGGGGTATTTTACAATCATTTGCCTCTGCCGTGTCTTCACTGGCCACGAACACGACTTGTAAAAAAACATCTACTGCTCCAAAACTCACAGGACACTGAAACAGGAAAAGGCAATTTCAAAAATGAATTTGAATCGAGTCTCCGTGATATGCCAAGCTTTTCCTTGTTAAATGCAGTTCTCCCTTAACTGCACAGTTCTTCTGACTGCTAGTGGAAACATTTAACGGCAAAGTCAAGACAGGGTAAAAACCGATGAAAATGGAGAAGTAGTAATTAAAATAACAAAACACTGTCTGAAACGACAATAGCTATGAGAAACTTATGCTGAACAGATTTTTAGAATGAAGCAGCTATTTGGAATTATTAATGACATTGAATACTTTTGCAATTAAAAAAAGCAAGCCATGCCTTTAAGTTTTCATTGCAGAGTGTAAGAATTGGACACTATACCACAAATCCTGATTCTTTTGACCTCAAATTTCACGAGGTTGGTTTTAACAAATCAAACAAACACTCCACTCACTTCGCAGTAACAAAATTAAGCAGCAATATGGGCAGGTGTTACCCATCTAACAAATTTTTTTCTTTTATTTAAACCTACAAGGTTTCAAGTCTGTGGCACTGCTGCTTCTTGACAACGCATTTCAGAAACTCTTCATTCATTTTGCTCCTACTCACAACGTTTGTTTCTGCTTCAGTGTACAAATACTTCTTCAGTGGAAAGCACACACTACTTCCTTTCCCATTCCATTCACTCAACTATTTCTGAGGACTGACTTGCCGTGTTAATTGTGCGGAGGGGTTTCTTTCAGAATATTTAAATAACGAGGGGGGATTTACAGACATTGTTGCATAGCAAATTTCATAACGCATACACACAATTCAGGCACTTTCAAACCCCGTTCTTCTTTCAAAGCGTTAAGAACAAACACCATTAAGCTCTCTGGTACTTGTGTGGCAACACAAGAGCCAAGCGTAAAAATTTCACGTACTTCTGCGTCCACCTTGAAAAACAGAAGGAAAAATGTTGCAAAATCGGTGTCCTTTTTCATGGCTTAGAACTCCTTATGAGAGCAAAAGCACCGTCCCCAAAAAGGATGTCGTACATAACCTCACACCAGGTAACTAGAAGGAAAGCGATCGTTTCCGCTGTGAGGCTGCGACATTCCTCACAAACTTTTTATTTTTAGAAGCTTTCGCTTTGGCTGTGCTTGTCTGCTCCAGCCTGGAGAAACAACGTCCCACACTCCAGCAACAGCAGTTACACATTTCATTCGCTCCAGATTTTAGGACGCCACCGCTTTCAGGTCACGGTTTCAAGAAACAGCACTAAGAGTCAAAGCACAGTAAGGTTCCTCTAAAATTGTTACAAACGATGCCGCCTCCGGCATTTCCCGCCACTTCACCCTGTTTCACTCTCGGGACGCATCAAGCAGCCACGTCCACACTGCCTCCACCCCCTCCCTCACCCCGGCCCCAGCCTCGCCCTCTGCCCCTCCTCCCGCCTTCTCCATTACTTGATCCAGAAGCTGAATACCAACGTGAAATCTTCTGACATTACTTCAGATCATCAGCTATCTCCTCTTCCTTCATGACCCTGTTTAACGAGTATCCTCTCTCCACCCCTAGCCACTCACCAGTAAAATTTCATAGAGAAGCAGTGTTTGTCACAAGTGAAAAATAAAAAACATTGCATCCCATTCCTACAGTGCCAAAAGCCTCTACCAACGTGACAAAAAAGAAAGCACAGAAGCCCACCATAAAATACGGCAACCTTCTTTGGGGATAGTGGTGTTTTACAGCAATTAATCTGAAGGCATAGCAAAGAATCGCCTTTCCTAGAATTTGAAGCTCAGAGTACACGAAGGGCTGTGCCGTTGCCTTAAGCTGCAAATCCCCAGGCTGGCGCTGAAAAACATGCTCCATCCAACCCCATCCCCATCCCTCCCCTGCTCTCCTATGCCAGCATCAGCTGCCTGCTCTGGCCAAAAACCATCCCTCCCTCATGCCACCCCTGCCAGAAAGAACGCTG